AAATTTCATCAAACATTTTATAACTATTATCAGTGTGATCAGACATGTGTATTTGTATATTTTTAAACATATATTTAATTTTCCATTTCATTGATCTCATTATTATTTCCTTTCTTCTTTGTATCTATTATTCGTATGGTAGATATTTTTTTCTTAATGTCAGTCAGCTTTTCTGCCCATAGGCATGTATTGTAAATATGTTTTCTGTGTGGTTTGATACTGAAGCTTGATGATCAATTATTTTGAGTGTATTTGCTCTGTTTACTAAAAGCTTTTTTTGATGTCTTGAGTGTCCATTATTATATTAGAGAACTCTCTTCTGGGATCATGTCATTTCTTTCCTTCCTTCTTTTTTGTGTGTTTTGTTTTGGTTTGATTTTTGGTAATATTTTCCCAATGCCAGACACATAGTGATCCATTGATAAATACTTGAGAATGAACAAATGAATTAATCAATTTTTTAATCTTATTCTGTATGAAAGCAGTGAGTGTGTGTGTGTGTGTGTGTGTGTGTGTGGTTATGGGAAATTTGCTGTTGTGAGAATTTAGTCAAATTTAGTACATTTTTCATTTGGAAGGGGTTCAATAACCATTAAACACATAATTATATCTGGAAAAAAAATAAACATGTATTTATAGTTATATCACCATATATATACATGTATAATAGTCACATAACATAAACACATGTATATTTAATTATGCACTGCCTAGAATATAACTAATATGTATATATACATGTATATGTATATAGATACACATATATGCATATTTGCCATAAATAAGGTTTTTAACTTTCATTAAAAACTTAAGTTTTTAACTTTTATTCAAATATTATTTTGTTTTAATTTCTTCCTAATATCATTATGAATGAATTGCTAAACACTCACATTGAAGGCGCCAATTTAAAAAGACGCATCTAAGGATAGGGGCACTTGTACCCCAATGTTTATAGCAACACTCTCAACAATAGCCAAATTGTGGAAAAAGCCTAAATGTCCATCAACTGATGAATGGATAAAGAAGTTGTGGTTTATATACACAATGGAGTACTACGTGGCAATGAGAAAGAATGAAATATGGCCCTTTGTAGCAACGTGGATGGAACTGGAGAGTGTGATGCTAAGTGAAATAAGCCATACAGAGAAAGGCAGATACCATATGTGTTCACTCTTATATGGATCCTGAGAAACTTAACAGAAACCCATTGGGGAGGGGAAGGAAAAAAAAAAAAAAAGAGGTTAGAGTGGGAGGGAGCCAAAGCATAAGAGACTCTTAAAAACTGAGAACAAACTGAGGGTTGATGGGGGGTGGGAGGGAGGGGAGGGTGGGTGATGGGTATTGAGGAGGGCACCGTTTGGGATGAGCACTGGGTGTTGTATGGAAACCAATTTGACAATAAATTTCATATATTGAAAAAAAATAAAAAACAAAAAATGCATCTACATAAATGTGCAGGTGTATAAATACTGTATTTGTCAGCTTTTGCGCAATAACGATTGTTAACAAACCCCTCACAACCCAATGGCAGACAATACTAAGCATTAATTTTCATATTCACAAATGTTCATATTAACAATGGTGTGGATGATCCAGGCAGGGCTCAGCTGGGTGGTTCTACTATATGTCACTGAGATGCTTTCCATCCTATGGAGAGCGCTTCATCTGGGACCAGGACGGGAAAGTAGTGACTACTCTGGGTAAAACATTCTAATGGCAAGCTTCAGGAGTGAACAAAATCTCCAAATCAAGCTGCACAAAGGGATTTAAGTCGATTTATCTCCAATACTGGTGCATAAAATTTATATTCTCTTGCCTTTGTAATTCCTCAAGTTTCTAACAACTTTAATCCATTAAGTTTTCAGAGCATTCCTCAAAACAGTCAAAAGTAGAACCCTACTATCTAATAATTGCACTACTGGGTATTTACCCCCAAAACCCAAAAAAACAGTAATTCAAAAGGATGCATGTACCTGTATGTTTACAGCAGCATTATTTACAATAGCCAACTTATGGAAGCAGCCCAAGTGTCTTTTGGCTGATAAATGGTTAAGGAAGATGTGATATATCTATGCACGAAGGATTATTATTAAGCCATAAAGGAGAACGAAGTCTTGCCATTTGCAATGACATGAATGGAGATAAGAGAGTATAATGCTAAGTGAAAGAAGTCAGTCGGAGGAAGACACATACCATATGATCTCACTCATATATGGAATTTAACATACAAAATAAAAGAGTAAAGAAGAAAAAGAAAGAGAGAGCCAAACCAAGAAACAGACTCTTAACCAAAGACAACAAACTGGTGGCCACCAGAGGGAAGGTGGGTAGGGGGATGGGCGAAATAGGTGATGGGGAGTAAGGAGTGCACTTGTGAGGAGCACTGGGTGATGGGTGCAACTGGTGAATCACCTTATGCTAACTATACTGGAAATAAAATTAAGTAAAAGCAAAGTGTTTGCTCATGCCATTGATGTGTTTTAGGCTCTACCATCTAAAAAATGTTTTCAAGTCTAGTTTTCTGTTAATTGGAAAACAGAGCTGAGTGTGGTTTCAACATACAGCTGTAAGTAGAAATTGTCTTCAATGGCTTCGGTGGAAAAAAATTTTTTTAAGCTGAAGTAAACAGTCTCTAAAACAGCTTCTTACACCTTCTATAGATCACCTGGTAACTTGTTAAAATGCAGGTTTCCATCTCGAGGTCTCAGGTGACCTGCAATTTTGTATTGATAAGAAGTTCTCAGTGATACAGATGATGATGATGATGATGATGATGATGATAATGAAGCCTTCTGGGGAAATGTTGAGGAGCAAGTTATTTTCATAATAAGGACAAAGAATGTTTCATTAATGTTTAGTGTTTTGTGTGTGTGTGTCAAAAACGTTTTCCATTTATTTGCCAAATATTTGCTATATGTGTAATTTATATACATATATGTATATATATAATGAATGTAATTTCCTCATTTTCTGTTTACCATATAACTCAATAAAGTTTCATGCTATGATCCCAGATGTACTGCTAATACCTGGGAGAACATTCAAGTGTATTCTGGGTCTATCCTCCAGCCGGAAGAGCTCTGACAGCTGGGAATTAGCGACCATCCTGGGCTGCCTGCTGTCAGCCACCCATCACTTCTGGAAACACATCTCCCCCTTTTTTTTTCTCCATAGCTCCATGTAGAGGTAGGTGCTCAACGAGGCACCCTCACTGAGATTTGGAGTTCAGAAGAGGAGGATTTGATGCTATCCGTCAGCACCTGCAGGCAGAGTCGACAAGGTCAGGGCTGGAGAACCACCTGGGGAGGTGCTGCAGAGGCTAGAGCATCAGCACAACTACCCCGGGGCTTCCCAGACAGGCTTGAGGACCACACATATGGTTAAGCAGCCTGTACCTTCAGCCTTCAGTGGTGATGTGTTCTGGTTTCTCGGGGGTAGCACCAGGCACTCTCTCGAATCTCATATTGGCTCTTCTGCCTACCCTACTCCCAGTCCATTAAAAACAACAACAACTGTAGTTAAACTCTAATTCCCTGTATTACAACAATTCCTAACAAGAAACCGCAAGAGAAAATTTTGCAAGGGACCTCTCTGATAAAGAACTGTTACCAAAATATACAAAGAGCTCTTTAAATTCAACAATAAGAAAACAAACAATGTGATTAAAACATGGGGCAAAGACCTTCATGGGTACCTCCCCAAACAAGGTATACAGATGACAAATAAGCGTATGAGAAGATACTTCATATTTATCATGTCTGCAGAGAAATGCAAATTCAGGCAATGATGAGATGCACACCTCTTGGGATGGCCAAAATCAGGAACACCGACAACATCCAATGCTGACACCAATGTGAGCAGCAGGAAGCCTCATTCATTGGTGACAGGAATGGAGAATGGCACAGCCCCTTTGGAAGACAGTCTGGCAGTTTCTTACAAAACGAAACGTCCTCTTACCATATCGTCCAGCAGCTGTGCTTCTTAGTATTTACTCAAAAGCATTGAAAATGATGCCCACACAAGACCTGCACACAGATGTTTTTACTCACCTTATTCATAATTGCCAAAAATTGGGGGGGGGGGCGGGTGGTGGGAACAAAACAGATGTCTTTCAGTAAGTGAATGAATAAGCAAACCGTGGCACATCCAGACAATAGAATAATATTCAAAACTAAAAAGAAATGAACTCACAAGCCATGAAAAGAGATGGGGGAATCTTAAATGCATATTACAAAGTGAAAGAAGCCCATCTGAAAAGATTACGTGCTATATGATTCCATCTATATGACATTCTGAAAAAGGTGAAGATCTGTGGTTGCCAGGGGCTAGGGTGGGGATGGCGGGATAATGGGTGGAGCATAGAGGAATCTGGGGGGCAAGGATACTATTTCATACGATGCGAAAATGGCGGCTAATGTTATGAATTTGTCCAAACCCACAGAGTGCACAGCCCCAGGAGTAAATGCCAATGTAAACTATGGACTTTGGGTGATAATGATGTGTCCACGTAGGCTCATCGACGATAACAAATGCACTACCCTGGTGGGGGATGTTGACAGTAGGGGAGGTTGTGCATGTGCATGTGCGTGAGCAGGGAACATTCGGGAGATCTCTTTACTTTCTGCTAAATTTTGCTGTGAACACAGAATTTCTTTGCAACTTAAAGTCAATCAAAAACATTCCTGCTTGGAAATCTGGAGTGGCTTCTCTTTTGCTGTGTGAACCCTGATGGATGCCATTGCCCACATCTCCGTCTGGATTACATCGGAAGAGACATTGTCGCGTCTGTGCCGCTGGACTGAGGAGGGGGAAGGGCAGTCAGGGGCCCCAGGCACCTCCCTGCCCTTCTCCCAAACCTCCCAGTGACCCCCCCCCCAGAGCGGGACTGCGTCTGACAAACTCTCTGAGCAGATGCAGGCACAGGAGGAGCGGCGGGGGCAGCCCGGCCTCTCACATCTGCGTCCCTGGCGGTTTATGGTCTGGTCTGTAACACTGTGCGAGGGAGATTGTTACTTTGCTGGCAGTAGTAAGTGGCAGCGTCTTCAGGCTCCAGGCTGCTGATGGTGAGGGTGAAATCTCTCCCAGACCCACTGCCGCTGAACCGCGAGGGGACCCCAGTTTGCAACGTGGATGCACGATAGATCAGAAGCTTAGGAACTTTCCCCGGTTTCTGCTGATACCAGGCTAACCACGTGTTAACGTTCTGACTCGCCCGGCAGGTGATGGTGACTCTGTCTCCTGGAGATGCAGACAGCGAGGATGGAGACTGGGTCATCTGGATTTCGCAGCTGGCTCCTGAGATGGGGCACAGAGAAACAAAGACCCACATGATGAATCATGTCATAAGAGGACGCGGCTGGCGGGCCAGGCAGTACTGGGCGCGCTGGCTGAGTAATTTCCCAGTGTTCTCCTTCCTTACCTGGGAGCCAGAGCAGCGGGAGGCCCAGGAGCTGAGCGGGGGCCTTCATGTCCATGCTGTGTCCTGACCGGGACTGGGTCCTGCACAGGGTGTGACCGGCCCATTAATCAGCGTTCAGGGAAGTGGGCTGTGCCCTAGGAACATGCAAATGAGCGGGGGATAGAGCATAACTGGGCACAGCCACAGGGCTGGGTTATCTCAAAAATGGTACAGGTGCAATAAAACCCCCAGTGTCCAGGTTCTACCAGAGCAGCATAAATTTGCCTCCAGAGCAGGTGTTTCTCCCTGGAGGGCCAAAGGGCGGAATCCGTCGGCTGTCCTGTGACTGTAGAGTCCTCTGTGTCTCTTTAAGACTCGTAACACATTTTTCTTACTGTCTCCCTAAGACTGCATCTGTCAGACATTACACAATCCCAGACACTCTAAGAACTTGTACAGGCCCCTTTTATTTGGTGCCTGCGGATGTTATTCAGGCCACGGAGATTCTTCTTTGCTCTAACGTCCTGATATTCTTGGCACAAGAAACTACCGTCCAGCCATGCGATGTGGGAGAAGAGGAATAAAGAAGTGTGGGTGTCATGGTGTGTAAGTGCCCAGCTATTGAGCATCTGCCGTTGCTAACGTGTCATCTCCAGCTAAGCCGTGTGTCCTCATCCATTCTGAGTGCTCTGTCCCACCAGGCAGCACAAGTGAAAAGCTGCCTAAGTGTGAAAAAAACTTCTACTACCAGGTGGGGCAGCCAGAAGTTGTTGCGTACGTAAGTGTATTTATTCTAGAAATTAAGAATTAATAGGATTCTGAGAAATTATCACGAGATAAATATTGTTGTAATCCTCTTTGCTCTGTCAGGGCTGGGCTTAGCTGCAGGACTGGCTTTTTACAATTGCAGCACCCCGGTGCGGCGTCCCCCAGGAGTCCCAGGCCAGACCAGGGCAGCACAAGTTTGTCTGCAGACAACGTGTCTATCCCCGAGGGCCAGGGGACAGAATCAGTCTACTATCCTGTGACGAGAGTATTTGCTTTGCTGTCTTCGGGTTCTGTGACCCGCTTTTGCTGTTACCTCTCCATCTAAGACTTGGTCTGTTGAGTGGGACAAAAGCCCAGAAATCCAAAGAAATTCTACAAGGTCTTTACGTTTGGTGCTTACATATTTTTTTTAGGACAGAGAGTCCTCCTCTTTGCTCTGATTCCCTGATTTCCTTGGAGTGATAAATTATCAGCATAGAGAGAGAACCTAGGATGTCTACAGATTGTTCCGCACAATATTCAAGAGTGTATTGATCAACACGTGCATGTCAAGAACCTGCTGAGTCTGGAGGAAAAACTGCCTGAAAGTGTTACGGGGCGGTGGGTGGAGCCTGGGCGGCTGGGTAGGTTAAGCGTCTGACTCTTGATTTCAGCTCAGGTCATGGGGTCACTGTTCGTGGCTTCGAGCCCCGCGTCAGGCTCTGTGCTGACAGTGTGGAGACTGCTTGGGATTCTCTCTCCCCTCCCTCTCAACCCTCCACCAATTGTATTTTCTCTCTCACTCTCTCTCTCTGTCGACAATAAATAAATAAACATAAAAAGATATTACAGGGAAAATTTGTCAGAGCTCACACAGGGCCAGAAAGAGTTATTGTGCGCACCAGTAAGAGTAGGAAACCTCACGATCACAGGGCATCCGGCTGAGTACTCAGGAAGTACTGTCTTGGTAGTGGGGCAAATTACCCCCGGACAAAATGCTATTCTGGTCCCGCCGAACAAAGCTTAAAAGCGAGACCCAAGTCTGTCAGACAGATGCAAGCCACAAGATTTGATATTTCAGCAAAAAAGATTAGCGACCTTAGCACTAGAAATTGTCTAAGATGTACTATTATGAAAAAAAAAATACTTGAAAAAAACATGAACAGAGAGAGCATCGGCGAACTGTGCGACACCTTCAAGCAGTCTGTTACATGAATAATTCGAGTCTTGAGAAGAGGTGAGGAAGGAAGTATAAGAACCATTTTGAAGAAGTATTGGCAAATCTTTTTTTTCAATTTTAAGAAATCATTATCAGGGCTGGCACAATGAAAAATCCAGAATTAGCTTGAAACCACGTATTTGGTGGTTGAATACAGAAGTGCAAGGCAAATCCACCGAACTTCCTCCACGGTCCTGGTTGGGGAGAAGTTTCTAGAAGTTGAGTGGTCTGGGGAATGTCAAAAAAATTGCCTCCAAGATGAAAGCACATTTTCGGAGGTGCCTGACTGGCTCAGTTGGAAGAGCATGTGACTTGATCTCGGGGTCGTGGGTTTGAGCCCCGTGTTGGGTGTAGAGATTACTTAAAAAAAAAAAAAATAGACTTAAAAAATAAAACAGAAGAGAAGGGCACTCTGCAGGTGAGGGCTTCGGGCAGAGGACTTTATGACCCAGCAGCGCAGTGACGCTTAAAGTGCCTGTGGCAGACCGGGAGAGAGCATTTGGAGGCTTCAGAGAGCCCCAACAGGAGAAGCACAGTATGGACCTCTAGGGTATTAGAATAGTGCTCTGATCTCTTCACAGATAACAATTCCCTTTTTGAGATAGGCTCCTGGCTTGCTGTTAAACCCTGGTAGAGACGACGCGTTGTATACAGATCCTGCAGTAGCCATGTGACCTGAGCTGTCCTTATGAATTGAGTGGTAACCTACCAACAAGCCGTAATGTATGCACGCAGTATCCTGTCATCAGGTAGAAGTGGGATATGCAGGCTAGGTAGGCCTTGAGGCAGTGCCCAGGGCTGGTGAGTTATTCAAGCTCCCATGGGACCTACACTTGCGGAATTGCTCCCCTTCTTTCATTCTAATCCTTACGTGGATTCTCTTTAGACAGGTGACCCTAGAAAATAATAATAATTCAGGCCCACTATACACTGAATTTTTATGCAGTCCGGTTTTACGCAAGATGTGCCTAAATTCAGATCAAACGTAGAGTTTTGTAGCCTTGCAGACTACTTTAAGAACAGTTGAGGGAGAGCATGCAGGAAGAGCTTCATCTAGTGGGCAGAACTCAGAGTTGGCTTCTCCAGTCCGCTTTACCTCTCGTAGAGGTGAACTGAAGCAGAGTCTTCGCTCACTCAGAGGCAGTGATTAAAAGTGTGGCCACATGGTCAGAAGATTGGATAAAACAAGCCTGGGAGGTTGGTGACGAGAAGCTCCAAAGTAGAGTTTTATGAATGGATCTCTGGACCAGGCACTTGCTGTAAGAGTATTTGTGTCCTACGCAAGTGCTCGTGACAACACATGCCCTGCACGGGGAGCTCTCAGTTATCAGGCGGACGAGATGACCAAGTCGGCGGGGGTCGGTTAGCCTGTTATGCAGACACCCCAGCGTTTATTCGTTGAGCTCGGGCATTAAGTGGCCATGGGGGCAAGGATGGAGGTGATGCACGGGCTCAGCTACGTGGAATTCCCCTTACCAAGAATTAAATGGGTTTTTGGCTCCAGGTAATTGCCCAGCAAGACAAAGGAAGAGATCAGTACTGATCAGTACTAGCTAGGCACTTGATGGCTCTATCGCCTTCTCTTTCCTTACTTTTTAAAGAAGGTGTATTTGTGGTCAATTCATTCTTCAAATGACTTAAGGTAAAAGTGATTGTGGCTAAACTGGAAAACAAATAAGCATCCCCTTCTGGGGAAGAAGGAGAACATGTCTGGAGTTTGCCTGGGATCGCTGCATCATATTAGGTAGATGCACAACGCCATTGGACTTTAATTGGAAACAGAAACATGGGCAGACAAGTGTTTCGGATGTTGGAGTACAAAGAAGTGGACCAGACTGCTTATATGTCTGCTTAGCATCACTGCTTTGCCCTTCTACATTCTCATGGACACCACTTTCCAGAATCCCTTCCTCCTTGGCCCCAGATTTTGTTTGGTTGATAAAAGGTGCTTGTATAAGATCTAAAAATTGGAATAGCGCAGGAAACCCTTACCCTCCTACCGGTGTTGTGGGCCAAAGTGTGTGCAGCCCACAGATGAGCTTCCTGTAACTCTTGAGGTTTATCATGGCTTCTGAGATCTCTCGGGACTCGTCTTCTTTGAGCTGCTGCTGAAATTATTCGTAGCAGATTTTCCGTGATTCCGGAATCGCTTGATTCAAGGAACTCTGGAAGCGGCTTCCTTGACCTTTGCTCCTCAGACTCCCCAGTGAGTAACCCTACAACACCCGGGACTAAAACCAACCTACTTGGAAATCCTATGTGTGCATTTGTTTTCCCGGGAAAATCCCAACGCCATCTCTTTTTTGCTGTTCATATCATTAGTACAGATTTTGTATCTTTGAAATAAGTTCTCTTATTTAAAGTCTTATGATGCCCTTTAATTGCTTCCTTCATCCTGTCACTTTCCTCCTAATGATGGCAGGCATTCAAGGCACAAAGTGGTTTTTTCTTATTCTTTTTTTTTTTTTTTAATTTTTTAAATGTTTTTATTTATTTTTGAGACAGAGAGAGGCAGGGCATGAGCAGGGGAGGGGCAGAGAGAGAGGGAGACACAGAATCCAAAGCAGGCTCCAGGCTCTGCACTGTCAGCACAGAGCCCGACGCGGGGCTTGAACTCACCGACTGTGAGATCATGACCTGAGCTGAAGCTGGACGCTTAACCGACTGAGCCACCCAGGCGCCCCTTTCTTATTCTAGTCCTACAGGAGAAAAAGGAGTCCTTGACTCCCATGCTTATCTGCTATTACTTGGAAATCCTTGTGCAAATTTATAACGTATAACATTCCTAATTAAAAAATATAGTCTGTATGGTTAATAAACGTAACACATGCTTTTAGTTTAATAGGAATGAACTGGTTCAAAAATTCACATAAAAATTAATTGATGCATCTAAGGTACAATTTCTAATTACAAACTTAGCAAAATTGTGCACAAAATTGGATACATAAATTATTAAATATCACAATTCAAGTTGTTCTGAGAGGCTCTAAACATCCAAAATAATGTCGTCAGAATAGATGTACAAAGGGAAAAAAAAACACACACACAAAAGAGGGAAGGAAATAAGGAAGGAAGGAGCCTACACGTCCACTGTCTTACACAGTAATTACTCTTAAGGGTGTATATTATTATTTTATCAAGGAGAGAGTGAATCACCTCT